TGCCGGGCTGCCACGACATGTGGACGGTGCTGGCGGCGCCGGGCGGCGCGGTGAGGGGCGCAGCGACGCCTTGCTGCCACCTGTGTCACCTGTGTCACCTCTGTGTCACCTCTGTGTCACCTCTGTCACCTCTGTCACCTCTGTGTCACCTCTGTGTCACCTCTGTCAGCTCTGTCACCTCTATGTCACCTGTGTCACCTGGTGGCACCTCTGTCATCTGTGTCACCCCTGTGTCACCTCTGTCAGCTCTGTCACCTCTGTGTCACCTCTGTGTAACCTCTGTCACCTCCTGTCACCTCCTGTCACCTCTGTGTCACCTCTGTGTCACCTGTGTCACCTCTGTCAGCTCTGTGTCATCTGTGTCACCTCTGTGTCACCTCTGTGTCACCTGGTGTCACCTCTGTCACCTCCGTGTCACCTCTGTCACCCCTGTGTCATCTCTATGTCACCTCTGTCACCTGTGTCACCTCTGTGTCACCTGTGTCACCTCCGTGTCACCTCCTGTCACCTCTGTCACCTGGTGTCACCTCTGTGTCACCTCTGTCACTTCTGTCACTTCTGTGTCACCTCTGTCACCTCCTGTCACTTCTGTGTCACCTCTGTGTCACCTGTGTCACCTCTGTCACCTCTGTCACCTCTGTGTCACCTGCGTCACCTGGTGTCACCTCATGGCACCTCTGCCACCTGTGTCACCTCTGTGTCACCTCTGTGTCACTTGGTGTCACCTCTGTCACCTGTGTCACCTCTGTGTCACTTCTGTCACCTCTGTGTCACCTCTGTGTCACCTCTGTCAGCTCTGTGTCATCTGTGTCACCTCTGTCACCTCTTTGTCACCTCTGTGTCACCTGGTGTCACCTCTGTCACCTCTGTCACCTCTGTGTCACTTCTGCATCACCTGGTGTCACCTGGTGTCACCTCTGTCACCTTTGTCATCTCCTGTCACCTCTGTGTCACCTCGTGTCACCTCAGGTCATCTCTGTCTCACCTGGTGGCACCTCTGTCACCTGTGTCACCCCCTGTCCCCCTGTCCTCCCATCCATATGTCCCCCTGTCCATCCGTCCCCATGTCCCCCTGTCCCCCTGTCTGTCTCTGTATCCATCCCCCTGTCCCCCTGTCCCCCTGTCCATCTGTCTCCCTGTCCCCCTGTTCCTCCGTCCGTCAGTCCTCCTGTCTACTGTCCATCTGTCCCCCTGGCCCCTGTCCATCTGTCCCCATGTCCC